CCCTTGAACAATATGGGTTTGAACTGAGGGGGATCCATTTATAAGCAGATCTTTTGTCTCTGTCACCCCTGAGACAGCAAAATCAACCCCTCCTCTTCCTTCTCCTCCTCAGCCCACCCAATCTGAAGACACGGATAAGACCTTTATGATAATCCACTTCCACTTAATGAATAGTAAATATATTTTCCTTATGATTTTCTTAACATTTTCTTTCTCTAACTTACTTTAAGATTAAAACAGATGAGACATACGGTACAAAAAACATGTTAATGCACTTTATGTTTTTGGTAAGGCTTCCAGGCAACAGTAGGCTATTTGTAGTTAAGTTTTGGGGGAGTCAAAAGTTATATGCAGTTTTTTTGTGGCAATGTATTTAATCTCTTAAATGTCCAATGTAAATTTATAAAATTTTAATATTCTCTAGTAAACACATAAGCATAGTTTACCACTAAATACAGAGTAACCATTAATGTTAGGACTTCTATTTGTTTCATGTAATTTGTTCTCATTAACTCCTTATTTCTCACAACAAATCTAACAGATGGCAATTTGGAACTTTTCACAACAGCAAAGACATGGAATCAACCCAAATGCCCATAAATGGTGGACTGGATAAAGAAAATGCAATATACATACACTACGTACTACTATGCAGCCATAAAAAAAGAATGAAATCATGTCCTTTGCAGCAACATGGATGCAGCTGGAGGTCATTATCCTAAGTGAATTAATGCAGAAACAGAAAACCAAATACCAGCATCTTCTCACTTATATGTGGGAGCTAAACATTGTGTACACAGGGATGCAAAAAAGGGGAACAACAGACACTGGTGCCTACTTGAGGGTGGAGGGTCGGGGGAGGAGGATGAGGATCAAAAAACTACCTTTATGCTCACTACCCGGGTGATGAACTCATTTGTACAACAAACCACAGCAACATGCAATTTACCCATGTAACAAACCTAAACATGTACCCCCTGAACCTTATAAAAACTGGAAAAAAATTTTAGGGCTCCTTACAATGGCTCTTTATGAGATTAAAACAATTGGCTGAATTTCTATTGAGAAGGGTGAAATTTGCTCAAGAATGTAAAGGTTTAAAATGTATTTGCCATTTGAGAACATTCTGTAGTTCTTCTGCTTTTCGGAAGATGAGCCTAATGACAGGAAACCTCTGCAGACTTTCGACTGTGTGAAAGTTGATGCCCCGACCCCCGTGCCATTTAAGGAACAACTGTATTCTAGACCTCGTTGAGTAACCCCAGCCGACATCAAGCAAAGCAGAGATATGTTATACCACCAAGTCTTGCTTAAATTGCAAATTCATGAGCAAATTAAATGCTGCCATTGCTTTAAACCACTACATTTTGGAATAATTTATTGTGCAGCATTAAATAACCAGAACAGGGATCAAGATGATACTGGAGGAAGATCTATTTTTAAAGGGCTCTTAGATTTTTAGGTATGATATATTGATACCTAGAGACTTTTGTTGAGCAGATTAGGGTAAGCCAAAATATAACTTCTTATGAGAAACTAGGAGTGAAGGTGAATAAAAAGCTTTATAACAGGCTAGTAATTAAAAGGATGGGTATTGAACTAAAAACAGACCAAATCTGATTTGAAACAACTCTAGTCTTTACTAAGTCTGTGATCTTAGTCATGGTATTTAACTTCTTTGAACTCCAATTAGCTCATCTGAAAACTGTGATAATATCAAATTCATAGAGTTGTAAAGATTAAGTGAGCTGATAAGAATGCTTAATTAATGGTGACTATTATGATCAGCCATTGTTATTTCTGCAGTTTTACTATCTTTGCATTTTGCCATAATTAGCAGGGGTGGAATACAACTGTTCCAGCTTAGGCTGATTGCTAAGCATCCTTCTGTACAGACAATTTGCCAATTAATCAGGAATTTCCCACTGTACCCTTTACCTTTTCTGCATTCTGCTAGAACTGTGGAAGCTAAAGACAAATGTCAAATATCACTCTGGGAAGCCAACAACTTAAACATGCTAAACTGAGTAACACGGGAGCAAATGTCATGGGACTGCAGCTTCCCAAGTGTCTGACAGAGTTCTGATGTCTCAGCTCTCTGCCAGGGGGCTACAAAGCTGTGGAAAAGACTCCCACTACATCCCTGGCTGCTACAGAGATTTCGGCACATTACATATCATCAGTGTTTAGTAATCAATACACTATACATGACACTCTTCTCTTGTTTCTTATATCGGTTTTCTAAAACTATCTGCTCTTCAAGACAAATTCTAATCATCTAGTTACTACATATTAAAAAGTGCTTTTGATGTAAAATTTAGAAAGAACTCAACATACAGTTCAGCTAACACTTATTGTGTGTCTATTAGGACCCACGCACGATCAGCTGGAAACTGTCAAAGTGAAATTTAACTCAGATAAAGTGACCTAGTATCTTGTAAGAATAACAAGACAATTTTTTCTGTAATGAATGGAGTTTTTACTAATTTTCCTACTTTGAGATATTTAAAATTTTTAAGACTGATAGAAAAGCAAAGAATTAATTCATAATGCTAATAAGACTACAGCATTTTAAATACATGTGTTCTAAAACAGTTCAGATAGTAGCCTTTGATATGATGTCTCACAGTTCTACATAAAGAAGTTCATACTTTTCTGAAAGAAACTCAGAATTCTAGGATGATGATCCAGGTCAAAACAAAAGCTGACATGGGCTTTAAAAGCCTTTAGTTTTACTTAAATTTTGCCTTGCTTATTAATATTTTTTCTTAATATTTTCCACAATAATGAATATTGAGGACATATCTGATATTTATGAGCATTAAACAGCATAAAAAGAAACACAAAAATCATTGCATAATTAAGGCACTTTTAATTTTTGTAATACTTTTTCCAAATCAACAACATGTTTTTCCTTAAGGAAAAGTGATTTTTTTCAGTGTGGGAGCCCTGAGTCAGATCTTCAATCCTCTTTGGAATTGCAAACACCTTCATGCTCTTTTGCTATTAGCCTCTCTCTTCTTCAACTTTCCAAAATCCCTCTGAACCTGATGTGCAAGACCCACTTGCATTGTGAGCTCACAGGGGTCTAACCAGAGGTGAGTAGCTGGGAAAGACTGCTATATGGTTCTATGAATTATCTTCTGAGACTTGGAAGTTTATTTTTCATCCCTGACCCTACACAGGACTACTCTCAATAATTCCAGTCTTTGCATTTCTCAAAAGAAGACATTCATACAGCCAACAGACACATGAAAAAATGCTCATCATCACTGGCCATCAGAGAAATGCAAATCAAAACCACAATGAGATACCATCTCACACCAGTTAGAATGGCAATCATTAAAAAGTCAGGAAACAACAGGTGCTGGAGAGGATGTGGAGAAATAGGAACACTTTTACACTGTTGGTGGGATTGTAAACTAGTTCAACCATTATGGAAAACAGTATGGCGATTCCTCAAGGATCTAGAACTAGATGTACCATATGACCCAGCCATCCCATTACTGGGTATATACCCAAAGGATTATAAATCATGCTGCTATAAAGACACATGCACACGTATGTTTATTGCGGCACTATTCACAATAGCAAAGACTTGGAATCAACCCAAATGTCCATCAGTGACAGACTGGATTAAGAAAATGTGGTACATATACACCATGGAATACTATGCAGCCATAAAAAAGGATGAGTTTGTGTCCTTTGTAGGGACATGGATGCAGCTGGAAACCATCATTCTTAGCAAACTATCACAAGAACAGAAAACCAAACACCGCATGCTCTCACTCATAGGTGGGAACTGAACAATGAGATCACTTGGACTCGGGAAGGGGAACATCACACACCGGGGCCTATCATGGGGAGCGGGGAGTGGGGAGGGATTGCATTGGGAGTTATACCTGATGTAAATGACAAGTTGATGGGTGCTGACAAGTTGATGGGTGCAGCACAGCAACATGGCACAAGTATACATATGTAACAAACCTGCACATTATGCACATGTACCCTAGAACTTGAAGTATAATAATAATAAAAATTAAAAAAAATAAAAAAATAAAAATAACAATTCCAGTCTTTGAAGGGGCTGGAGAACGTTATGTAAAATGACTCAAGCTTCAACTTTTCCTAGGTCAGAAATACCCAAGGGCTTTGGTTTTTACTGTAACTTCCTTAGATAAAAGTCAGTTTCCTTTTTCCAATCCGGGAAGTGGACGTCTGTAATACAACATAAATTACAAAGTTTCTGTACCGTCTAGACACCATCAACCCCCTTAACACTACCTTCTCTGTCAAAAATCTGGGCAGGGCCCAAAAAAAACTGATGTCCAACTAAGCTCGGAAATATATTTCTTCCAACTAAAGCTGGCAGGATTCTGGTGAGCATATTTGAAGCCAACAAAAAGCAGGATTGGAAAATTAAGAATGGTTAAAAAGAAAGAAAGAGGGCAAGTACAAAACTCTTTCACAAATTAACAAGGCTCAATGGCATCAAGTACTTGGAAAGTTTCCATCTCCACCCCAACTTCTAAATAAAGTGGCATGTCAGCTCTGAAGATAAATGCTGAAATTTTTTGAGCCTCACTATCCTTGGTAAAGGCTCCATGTCTGACAGATGCAGATAATAAGAGAACTAAAGCACATGCTCAAGAAGATAGCAACACTCACCTGGATTTTTACAGCAATTCTCTGAGCTCAAAGTCATCCTCACAGCACGCAAGGAAGGAAAGATTACATAGGATTGAGAAAAGAGGTAAGAAATCAGTTGCTGTCTGGACGCAGTGGCTCACGCCTGTAATCCCAACACTTTGGGAGGCCGAGGCAGACAGATCACGAGGTCAGGAGATCGAGACCATCCTGGCTAACATGGTGAAACCCCGTCTCTACTAAAAACACAAAACATTAGTTGGGCGTAGTCCCAGCTACTCAGGAGGCTGAGGCAGGAGAATCGCCTGAACCCAGGAGGCGGAGGTTGCAGTGAGCTGAGATCATGCCACTGCACTCCAGCCTGGTGACAGAGTAAGAACCCATCTCAAAAAAACAGAAAAGAAATCAGTTGCTTGTTCAGGGATAGAAAGTGGCAGACTGCACAAGGATTGAAAATTTGTTACCCTTCTCAGATCACCCAATTGCTTTCCTCCAAGCCAGCTGAGGAAACACTATTTTATCCTAATAATAGCAGTAGTAATAATAGTAATGGCAGCTATCACTGAGTGACTACTATATGCTAGGCACTACACCAATGTTTCATATTTATAATTCTCACAACAGTATACCTTTCAACTTTATGTTTGCCATAGAGCAGGATTCAGCAGAAGAAAGATCTGTCTTGGATCACATCTAAAGAGGATTAGTTTCTGAAATTTCAAAAGAATGGTTTAGATGATATCTTCCTTATAAACTGCCCTTTAACATTATAAAGACTTTTCATATATATTTTTTCATTTCCTCTTTGCAAAAGTCTTCAGTGGCAGGAATCATTACCCATATTTCATCTATGAGAAAACTAGGCCCAGGAAGGTGGTGACCAAAGCCACATACTCTTAAGAACAAGGCAAGGCTTAACCACAGGCATCCTGACCTCAAGTCCTGTGTCAAAGTTCCACCTACAATGTGGCCCCACAGGGTAGGTCCTGAGAATATTGTGAGTGCTAAACATAGTCTACTCAATTCAACTGACATTCACCGAGCACCTACCTACTGTGTGCTCCTCACTGTGCTCTGTGCTGGAGGCTCAGAAGTGAAAAGGTCACAGGTGCTGTGGGAAAGGAGTTCATAGATATGTGAGTAACCATGCAAATAAGTAAGGACAATATGGAGTGCTATGTGCTGACCAAAGTAGGGGGATTAGTCAGGGTTCTCTAGAGGGACAGAACTAATGGAATAGATATGTAAATAAAAAGGAGTTTATTAAGTATTAACTCACACGATTACAATGTCCCACGATAGACCATCCGCAGGCTGAGTAGCAAGGAGATCCTGTCCGAATTCCAAAACTGAAGAACTTGGGAGTCCAATGTTCTAGAGCAGGAAGTATCGAGCATGGGAGAAAGATGTAGGCTGGGAGGCTAGGCCAGTCTCTCCACATTTTTCAGTCTGCTTATATTCTAGCCGTGCTGGCAGCTGATTAGATTGTGCCCACCCAGACTAAGGGTGGATCTGTCTTCCCCAGCCCACTGACTTAAATGTTAATCTCCTTTGGCAACATCCTCATAGACACACCCAGGATCAATACTTTGTATCCTTCAATCAAAGCAAGTTGACACTCAGTATTAAGCATTACAGGGGGAGGGGGGGGACATGATAGCTCTAGGAGTGTGCGGTGCTTCAAGGAGGAGGGGCACCCGAACTAGGTTAGGAGGATGAATTCAGTTTTAAGCATACTCTTTTTTAATTATGAAGGAAAAAAAGCATAAAAGATTAGCAATTTGTGCAATACTAGAGAGTGCCTAAGATCAAATATTTAGAAATCTTGACAAATATGAATCTGCAGGTCAGACTATATGGCATCAATTTAGGATAGACAGTTAATGTAAAAAACAAGTGAAGACATTTGAAAGAATAACGAGGTCCTTCTGTCCTTCTTAAAGGGTATATGCTCAATGAAAATATCATGTTACATTGAATTAATTTACTTACCTTCTTATTTATTTTTGAGACAGGGTCTTGCTCTGTTGCCCAGACTGGAGTGCAGTGGTGCAAACATGGCTCATTGAAGCCTTGACCTCCTGAGCTCAAGCAATCATCCTACCTCAGCCTCCTGAATAGCTGGGACCACAGGTGTGTACCACAATGCCCAGATAATTTTTTTTAAGAGACAGGGTCTCTTCATGTTGCCTAGGCTGGTCTCAATCACCTGGCCTCAAGCTATTCTCCCTCTTTGGCCTCCCAAAATACTGGGATTGTAGACATAAACCATCACACCTGACTTCAGGTTACATTTTAAAGCCAAACGAATCGATCCCAATAGTTAAATGCTATCTGCAATTCTGACCACTTGTTAGAATGGCAAATTCAAAATATTACAGTCCACTAAGGACGTCAGGAACAGCCAGACACTTATTTTCTGGTGCATGTCTGACTGTGGCAGAAGTTGAGACATTCATGCTGTGAGCTGTACTGCCCCAGCAATTGCTCATGGATGTGTTGTATTAGTCTGCTTTCATACTGCTATGAACTGCCTGAGATTGGGTAATTTATAAAAGTAAGAGGTTTAATTGACTCACTGTTCAACATGGCTAGGGAGGCCTTGGGAAACTTACGATCGTGGCAGAAGGTGAAAGGGAAGCAAGGCAACTTCTTCACAAGCAAGCAGGAAAAGTGCCGAGCAAAGGGGGAAGAGCCCCTTATAAACCATCAGATCTCATGAGAACTCACTGACTATCATGAGAACAGCACAGGGAAAACTGCCCCCGTGATTCAATTACCTCTACCTGGTCTCTCCCTTGCCATGTGGGGATTATGAGGATTATAATTTAAGATGAGATTTGGGTAGGGACATAAGGCCTAACCATATCAATTGTCAACTGGTGGGCTTTCAGGAAAAGGGAAAATGGGCCATCTGGCCCAGTTGATCATGTCCATTCCAAGTCCTTTGGCAACATCATGCCAAAGACATCAGGGTGGAATTTCTACCTTCTGAGGCCTAATGTCCAAAATCCTTTCCTTCCTGTTATTTGTCCCCTTGTTTCAATCCCACCTCCCTTCCTCTCCCTCTCCCTCAATTCTCCTGCCACCTCTCCCCCAATCCTCTAGCGTATGGCTTAGTGTCATGGAGATGTATCAAGTTTCTGGGTAGAAACTGAGGATTTCATTTCCAGTTAGTTCTTCCTCCTTTCTTCCTCTCCTTCTCTCTTCCTATTTGCCCCTTTTCTTCCTGATGTCCACTCTTCCTGCAGCAATAGCATTTTACATTACATCTTAAATTTCACCTAGGATACGAGAGACGTGTGTCTTACTGAAGGGATATAGGACAGGCCACCTTTCAACAGGAAGAAAGGTAGGTGATCATCATCGAATTTTAAAACTCAATGGAATAAAAGATCAGAATGTGGCTTCCCCACACAAGGCACTCTTTATTTCACGACGGGTCAGTGTTTGGATTCATTTATCAGCATGAGGAGGCCAGCTACACAGGAGACACCAATCACTGCCTGCCTATTTATATGCAGGAATCTGCCTGCTGTTCTAAGCAAACCCACTCTGCTCTTGGCCTCTGAACCTACATCTGGTTGAACCAGAGTTGGGCACCTGAACTGAATTCAGTCTATTCATAGGCTGGCCAGCTATCTATCACTTGGTTGCCTGCATCAAAAAATTAGTATGGACCCATGAGGCTCTCCATATAAACATTTTAAGTTGAGAAACTGGAAATCTGAGTCAGAATGCCACAGTAGCTAAGTTACAGGAATATGAAGTAAACTCGGGTGGGCCACAAGGAAGCTTAAGATAAACCGGAGAATCTAATGAAGCAAGTGGACAGTGAGAAGAGATGGCATGAGGAGAAAGAGAGACTTCATGTCCCTAATGATTCTGTGGTTTCTACTTGAGTCTATCCTTACAATCTTCCTCCTCCTTCTTGCAGGAATATGTTTCAGTTATTTGCAACCTAAAGGAATCTGACTAGAATGTAAAATCACTGACCTAGTAATATGATTGCTAGTCTGAGTCTGGAGGTAGCTCCAGTTTACTTCCAAGGCTTGCCAAAGATTCAAATGGAGTTACCAGGAATTATAGGTTTAGTCAGTCTGAATTATGCAAAATGTTAACCAAAAGCTACACTGACCTTTGATGTCTGAATTTCCTCATCAACAGGCTAATCCTTGACAGAAACACTGCAAGGATTTCTTCTCTGCAAAACTACCCTCTTCCTTCACAGTGAATCATCAGAAAGAGGAGCCAGCTGCGTGCCTAAATTCATCCCTTATTTTAATTAACCCAAGGATGACATGGAGGCCTTGGAGACCTTGTACGGTGCTGTGTGTTCAGCAGTAAATATCCACCCATTGTAGTCAGGAGCCAGCATCTTCATCATGCTTTCTTGTTAGAACAAGCTTGTCCAACCCATGGCCCATGGGCCGCATGTGGCCCAGGATGGCTTTGAATGTGGCCCAACACAAATTTGTAAACTTTCTGAGAACATCAGGAGATTTTTTTTGGTGATACATATTTTTAAGCTCATCAGCTATTGTGTTAGTGTATTTTATGTGTGGCTCAAGACAATTCTTCTTCTTCCAATGTGGCCCAGGGAAGAGGAAAGATCGGACACCCCTTTGTTAGAACATCAAGCTCTATTACTTTGAAGTTGTTATCCTGGATTACCAATCAGAATTTGTGTTTTCACCATTACTAAGCCTACTCTTTAATTCTCTCAATCATCTCTGTTCTAAGAGATAAAGAATGACAGGAATCATTAAAAGTGAGAGACTGAAAAACTGATTGGTTCATTTTAGAGTTCTATGTAGTATTCATTTCCTCCTTCACCACCCCGCTTTGTTTACAAGTGAGTATCCCTCTGTTGCTCTCCTTTGTCGCAAATATTCACATGAAAAACATCCAGATAACTCCACGGTGTCTTATTCTGAAGAAATGTGCTGTGCATCGCACCAATAGGAGCTCTAATTCCCCTATGGTTCAGGACACTCCAGTGACTCAAATGACCTTTCTACCAAAGGATCTGCATCACTTCCTTTGTTCCTGTTCTGCACAATATGGAATTACAATAATGTGAATAATTTTTCTTTTACAAAAAAAAAAAAAACCCCACAAAACACAGGAAATCTATCAAAAACAGTTTTGACAACTGAGAAAATCACGTTTTAATCTGTTTAATTAACCACAGTAAAATTTCTTTTCTGCCAGCAAAGAATTTTACAAATTTTACAAAATTGGACTCAAGTCAGTTTAGTGAGCATTCCAAGAACAAGTTTGTTAAATTGAGACAGAAAAGTAGCATTTAATTGATAGCTATATAGCTAGTTACTACAGGAGGAGGTGAGAGAGATGGAAAATTAAGGGTGTGCCTCAGTCAAGTTATCATACCTCAAACTTCCTAAGAGGCTAAATCTAGTAAATACTTTAAAAACATAAAAGCACACATTGGTTCTGAGTTCAGTCAGTAAAATGCCCCTCTAGCACAAGGCCAGTGACCAGGGATGGTTCCAACTCTGGGCAAAAGAAAGAAGACTCAGAATGGCATCTGGCATCAGAGGCCCCCACAGAAGGGGCTAGGCTGAGGGCACAGCCCAGCATAAGGCAGGTTGGTGTCTGGCCCAATGCAGATGTATGAAAGGACTGGCAGAACATGGCATCAAAAGGGCATAGCAGTATGTTTGAGAGATTCTCTCATATGAGGACTAGAGGTCAGCCTTGGGGTCTTCTGCAGGGAATCTAGGCAGGAAACCAACAAAAGGGGTCAAGATGTAAACCCAGTTAAGGGAACCAAGGCACTACCTGTGCATATGAAATGAATAAGGGTCATGTTGGGGTAGAGCCATCAGCAGAATGATGATGAGGCTGACCAAAAGACCTATTGAACAAGGGACCTTTACTTCTTCTGCTAATAGCCAGACTGCTTCCAGGGCTTGGAAGCGGGCCAAGACAGCTAGGGAGAATGATGGATTTAAAGTGCTGGCAACAGTAAATACATGATAAACGATATTGCTGTTGTTTATTGTGGGTGAAAGGATTAGCTGGGAGAAGGTGGGTAACACTGGAAGGGGTCTCTGAACCTGAAAACTACATAAAGCACAATGGAGTTGCATGTGTGGCGGGTGAAAGTCCAAGCAGGTGGGGCTGGATCTGTGGAAAGCATGGCAGCAGGAACAGGTGGCAGATGAAGTCGGGAGGTGGATAAGAGGTGTGTTTGTACTGGAGAGAGAGGCAGACCACAGGGTCCAGAAGTCAGAGCTGGCCAGAGGCAGGTGCCCATGGTGCTGGAGTACAGGGGCAGGATTCTAGTCCCTTCCAGCAGAGAGAGGGAATATTCCTAAGAATAAAATCAGGGGTGTACAAACAGGAGCAATAGCATGGGTAATCTACTAATTCCTCTGCAACACAGGTAACACTCGTCTCATCTAAAAGCTGATACTCAGGTATTTTGCAG